GCTCAGTAGAACCGGCACTTTTTTTCATAGCACTTATGGCTGTTTGTAATTGTGTATTTAAGTGATTAAGTTATTGTGTCTGGAGGGATTCTTGTCTGTTTTACCAAAAATCCCCAGGAGGACGGGGATAATGACCTTTTTGTTCCCCATCTTATCTGCAGTACATAGCACAGCGCCAGTTCCTAATAGGCACTTAATAAATATTTGCTACATAAATCAAAGTGAGATGTATAAATATAAGTATAGGTTATCTTCAGGGTGCTAAAGGCTTCCAGCTAAAGGGTGCTAGAATCCCTTAGAAATAACCTGCTCCCTTTTTATTATATAACTCATCTCCCTGATGGCTCAGTGGATGAAATTCCTTTTCCTTATCTTCACAGACGAGTTTAGCTACGCACTCATGGGGCTTATCCCCTCCTCAGCTTTATTTTAAACTTTTTTTCAGATGGTCATTTTTTTTTTTTTCTCCAAAGGAAATCTTCTGTGGAATTCTAATCCAAAACAGAACAAAACCAATCTGGCATTTCTCTGGTTGCAGTAGAAGCGGGAGACAGGCCTGCCCCTTCTGAGCTCCTAGGGTCCTCCAATGAACCCCTAAGAGTCCCTGGTTTGAAAACCCTTACCTGGGGGGCCCCAAAGGACCCACTCAGCTCTGGGGAATTGGGCTTCTGGGTGGTATCCAAGCCTTCAGACCTTGATTTAGACTTGAACACTCAAGCCACACCAGACCCCCAAGAGGTGGGAGACCCAGAATGCAGGTTCTAGCTCCTAAGAGAAAGGTACCCCTCCATCTCCTCGTATTCATCTTGTAAAGATGACCCCTTCCATAGGACCTGGTTTCATGGTAAAAAACAGCACAAACACATAAGAAAAATAACTTTGTTATTAAGCATATACAATCATTTCAAATGTTCTTCATAGTATCACATCCATAACTGTCTGAATACTAGCTCAACTGTTATATGGACCCGTTATAAATAATGAGCAACAGAGCTACTGAAGTATATGACTGATCACTGAAACAAAACAAACTCAAGACACACATGAAATTCCTCAGGGCACTTGCTTTGGGGATCTAATAAAGAATGCTGAGGTCCCTGGGGATGGGGGTGTGAGCTGATATTTGTAAAGGGGTCATTTTCTATGATTTTCCTAAAGCAATAAAATTTGCGGAAGGAGTATGTCAAGTCCAAGATTTTTAGGCCTTAACAGTCACGGTCATTGTTTTTTTCCAAATGGAAAAGTATCTTTTGATTTGTTGCGAAACATCCACGCTGACTGTTCCAGGAAAAATTCCATCTACGTCCCTGAATTCACAATTAATAATTTTAGATGGTTCTGTTCAACTAGTTGTTTGGTCCAGATTCCTGCAGATAATTTTCCTTTCAGGGAGGTTATCTGAAAGATGTATTAAGTTTGCACAATGAGGTGACTGTGGCTGTGTCTGTGTGACAGCCTGGGATGGGGGAAGGGAGTTTGGGGAGGGATGGCCAAAGGGTGATGAAGAAGCTGCTGCTTGTCAACCCAAGGAAATGCCTGGCTCCTAGTCATGGAGAATCTGTTTTCCCGCATGCCTGGGAACAAGGCTCCCAAATGCAACCCTCACTACAAACCCTGGACAGGAAGCCTGGGCAGAACCAGGTGGCCTTTATCTGGCATTTGATGGAGTAATACTTCCCCCACCCCAGCCAAGGTGCATTTGCTATTTACCTACCAGGTGATGGACACACCTGTACGATGTTGGATGGTAGAAATGACTTAAGCTGGTCAAGGAAGTCTGTGGCAGGAATTGGGAATTGACAAAGAAGGAGAGAGAAGGCAACATCTCCTTTGTGCTTCCACGCCTCCTTGGCATAGTAAAGTTTACAATTTTCTTCATTACTTCCTCTGTAGTTGGGATGGGAGGATGATTTTCCTAAGCAAAAATGTATGCTTTCCTTGAACCATTTTCAACAGTAGATGCTTACTCAAATGGCTTTCCAAAAACAGACACAACCAATTAAGGCCTCTTCCAAGTCCCACTTAGAGAGTGCAGAAAATTGAAGTCAACATTTCTACTAAAGGGTTGAGGAGGAGTAAAAAGATATTTTTTCCCCTGTGAAACATAAAGTGGCTTAGTAAAACTGTAGCAAATTTTACCCAAAACATGGATTTTTCCATTAGGTTCTGAAGTCTTGTTTTAGACAGTGAAAGCTCTGATTTTCTATCCATAACTAAAAGATGCGTTAGAAATAGTAATGTCTTATTATATCTTACCTTTGAAAAATATAATTTGGGCATAAAGAGTACATATTTAATCCTATGGTAGTAGTCTGTGCTTTGAAAATCCGAGGATTAATAATTATTTTATAAATTGACCTGATCCAGCAGATTGAGATTAAAAAATACAGGCTATTGGGTATTTTGCTGGAGGATAGTATCTAGAATAATCTCATGCATGAATTCCTGATATAATTACTTTCAGTTCATTCTTTTAATATATTATCCTAGCCTATGGCCAAATATGCAGTTTGGCTATATTTTCTGAGCCTCTAACAATAAAAAAAGATTTATATTTTTAAACACAGTTCACTATTAAGAAAAAGGTAATAAAATTCCTAATTTTTTCAAAAAGCCAAAGATGGATCTAACCCTTCTCATAGTGCCTGTGCATAGCTTTCTTCAGCATCCATCCGTCTACACCCTTTAAATACTGTGTTCCACAAACAGGCAAACATTAAATATATTCCAGATGGGAATCAACGGCTGCTCAGTTCATCGCTTGGTAAACCCGTAGTTGGAGATGCCCTCGGCTCTGTAGGTTGGATTCTGGAGAGACTGAGGGGAAGGAAGGATACTAGAAAAAGAACATTGAGGATGATTTCCTTGCACCTTTAAACTTCTGATGGACAGTCGCCGGGGATTTTGTGAACCCAAGAACTAGTGGAGTAAAGTGTCGGTGAAAAACTCAGCCACCAGCTGACAGACTAGAGTCTCGTATTCGAGTGAGATGGGAGCAGGGAAAGGATTGCTGTTGCCACTTGAGATTTGCAATGAAAGGTCCTTCCTTTGTTCTTAAGAAAGAAGATGGGAAAATGGCATACAAATACGAAAACAGCAGCTCTCTTTAAACAAGCTTTCCCAATAGGAGAGTTAAATGATGTCGGTTAAAAGCAGATTGAAAATGATACCGAACAAAAATTTCTCAAAAAATAGGAGGACGTCACAGATGGGAAACGGGAACCGGATCATGAGCAAACATGAGTTGTGAGAATGATCATTTAAAAAAAACAACAAAAACAAACCAGCTGCTGTAGTGCTGATCCCAACTCATGGTGACCCCAGGTGTGTCACAGCAGAACTGTCCTCCATGGGGTTTTCAATGGCTGTGCTATTTCAGAAGTAGATCTTCAGGTCTTTCTTCCGAGGTGCCTCTGGGTAGATTCAAACTACCAACCTTTCAGTTAGTAGTCGAGCACTTAGCTGTATGCACTACCCAGGGACTCCAATGATCATTTGGGAGACTGAGAATAAGGGAGAAAGTCTCCTGAACATTAGGTGGACAACAGCTGTTTTGTGAATCCTGAGAAAGCTATGTCCTCCGGGGCCCTTCGCCTTGGGGCACAGATGGGCCCTGGGAAAACATTCTAACTGGGAGTTTGGAACAACACCCCTTGCTGAACTGCCTTTCACATCTGCTGAAGAAGGGAAATCAAAGAGAAGGCCTGAAAAAGCAGAGATTTGGACTGAATTAAGAAAAATTAGGGGAAAACAGGAATGCCAAACAAGGAATACTTTGTTTTTTCCCCATCCAAGAGAACTTTCAATAGTGTATTATTCTCACTAACGTTGGCAAGCTTGGCTGGCCCCAGACAAAGACTTGTAGCACCCAAGGAGAGCAAATTTACCTGCCTTTGTTGATTTGGTTTCAACAGATGGAAGAATGCCCCGAATCCCGCCCCCACTAACCCAAGCCAGCAATCTGCAACCTTGAGTCCTGTGAGACATTAATTCAGTCTGCATCATGGCCTGATAGCACCTTCTGGGCACCCGACCAAAGCCACGGGATTCTGGGCCTCTCTCTAAGGGTCAGCCATCCCTATTTAATGGAGAATCTGTGATTTACTGGGCAGGCCAACTCATTGGATTAAATAGCTTTGAAATGTCCTGGCAAACCAGGAACCCATTGTGCTAATGTGAGTCATGGCATTTCATTCACTGACTGTGTTTTGAAAAGAGGATTTATTCCTACAGCTAGAGTAACTTTCTATCCTAACTCTGCACAGGATATTTATAGAGAAGCATGGCATGAATGCCTAATAGTCATCTTTGACTTTTAAAATGTGGCAACCTACATGACAACAAATATATGACTATAATTTTCTCCATCTTCCCTAATCTCCACTCCCTCTTAATTGTCTCCTTTCCTGAACCAAAATTGGGAAACGAGGTTAGATAAGGGGACAGAATATTTAAAACTTACTAGACCGACAAAGGGAAAAAACAGCTATTCACCAAGGTGAATATACATGGCTGCCCCTCCCCCAACCTTTAATTGCAGGTCCCAATTTTGATCCTTGAAGAGTAATAGTCTATTTTGGACACACTTCCCTCTTTTCTTTTTTTTAATAAGTAGCCTCACATTATTTCTTAGAGTTCACCTTCTCATTTTTTCTTTTTGGATATTCTTCCAAGTTTTAAGACACTACGAGAATACTTAACTCAGAACTCTAGAAGTTCTTGAAAAAAGAGAAAGTACAAGAAAAGTTTCTACGTAGACCACCCCAACTGGCTCTCACTGGGAAGTTTTTAAAGCGCTCATTTACTCCCTTCTGTCTCAAGTAGGGAGCTCTGAAAAAAGTATTTGGAAGAAGAGAAGTAGGGAGAAGCCAGGAAAAGGGTAAAGAAAATAAAAATGTATCTTTTCAATGTCCCCAGTGTATATGTTTTTGTAGATGATATAACTTCGGGTGAAAATACTTTTCTTTTCTCTTCCTTTGGCATGAAGATGCTGGGCTGTGTTAAGGATGAAAGTCTCTAGGTGTTCCCAAGGCTCTTGTCTCCCCTCTTTTTGGGTGGCTGTCTCCAGAGCCGAAGTCCATGGTTTCCGGGTAGCTGGACAATTCCTGAGGTAAAGGGTACTCCTCGGCTGAAGAGTGAGTTCGATACCCAAATACCTTTTCCTGCAGCTCGGCGATGTCGTTGCGGATGTCAGCCAGCAACAGCAGTAGGAAGTCAAAAGAACCAGGAGATCCCTGTGCACATGGGAGGAATCAAAGCTAGAACACAACAGACTCAACCTTTTGCATCAGCTATTACCTCCATGGATGCCATGATTTGCTAGACCCTCTGCTTGCTGGCAGCTACCCAGTAGATAACTCTGTGGCCCAAACTCAGTCAACATAAGGACTGCTAGATTAGCCTGGGTGATTCTCAAGATAGTTCTAATTCCCCCATCTTACGTACGAGCTTTGGTGACATATTCACCTCTCATCCCTCCTAACTCTAAACCAAAAAAAATCAAACCTGTTGCCATTGAGTTGATTCCAACTCATAGCGATCCTATGGGACAGAGTAAAACTGCCCCATAGGGTTTCCAAGGAGCAGCTGGTGGATTCAAACTGCTGTCCTTTTGGTTTGCAGCCAAGCTCTTAACCACTGAGCACCAGAGCTCCTAGCCCTAGGCTACAACAAATCTGGTAGGATGAAAGAATATGAGAATAACCACCCCAGGATACTTACCAAAGAAACAGAAAGATAATTATGAAGGCAGTAGAATAGTGGCTAAGAGCTTGGGATTCTGCTGTGTTTGAATCTCAGTTCTGTTGCTTACTAGCTGTGTGATTTCAGGCAAGTTACTTAATCTCTTTGGGTTTTGGTTTCCCCATCTGTAAAATGGGGATAATAATAGTCCTAAATTCATAGGATTTTGTAGAGTTTATAGATGAGGATTTAAATGAGTTAATACATGTAAAGGGCTAAGAGCATAATAAATGCTCAAAAATGTTATCTATTATTTTTAGAAGTAAAATTATTAAAATGTTTATGAGGATAATTGACTATAACTGCAACTAAATGAAGCTGAAGGATGTAAAGACACCAATACCTCAGTGATATAGAAAGAGCCAAACAAAAGCTTCCTAATTTTTCTATTTATTGAATACCCTTTATCATTATATAAACCTGTTGCCATCAAGTTGAATCCAACTTATAGTGACCTATAGGACAGGGAAGAACTGCCCCATAGGGTTTCCAGGGCTGTAATCTTTACAGAAGCAGACTGCCACATCTTTCTCCCACAGTGTGGCTGGTAGGTTTGAACTGCCGACCTTTCGGTTAGCATCCGAGCGATTAACCACTGTGCCACCAAGTCTCCTTTTTCATTATATAGTATTTATTAAGACTTAATTTCTATGTAGTGCTGTGTGGGGCATGGTAAAAAAATGTTTAACATGTATGTTCTGGGCTGTTTAGAAGCTTGCAGTAAAATCTTTATCTTGCCACACCCCTAGAGCCACCATCTTAGAAGCAACAGCTTACATCTGTACAGTACTTAGAGATGTACAGTGTGTCGACATCATTCGACCATCACCACAACCACTGGAGGTGTGGCAGATCAGATTCCATTACTGGCATTGCACAGGTGAGGAGGCGGACGCCTAGAAATGCTAGGTGATGTGGCCATGATCCGACAGCTGATATGTGGAAGACCTTCTACCTCTACCTTTCTACTGTCTACCTTTCTCCTTTCTTCAGAAATGACATTACTTCTTCAAAAGCAGAGGAGTTACTTGAAGTTTTTGTGCTTTTGGATACACCGAGTTTCATGTTAAATGTCCTAGACAGTATGTATACAGTATATGCAGCTAATTTCTTCTCAGCAATCCTAAACAGCCCTGTATACCTTTAATTTTTGTTGTTGTTGTTGAGGCTGTAGCAGAGTTATAATTTTTTTCTAGTCCTTTCAAATTTTTATGATATACCTGGAAACAGACTCATGACATACTGGGGTTTTGAACCTTAAGAGAAGACATTCCAAATAAAAATCAGCTATGATAAAAAAAAAAAAAAAATCCAAACCAGCTGCTAGAGGTTTCTGAGACTCTTTTCCTAACCACAGGCGGTTGAGTGACAGCTGGAAGGGGCAGCTTTTGCTAATAAGACCTACTTACAGGCTCACTGGAATCGCATCCCTGAGAACATTCCCACTAGGAAAGCAGGGCAGATAGTGCTACTTACTGGAGGCCCTCTGGGCCCAGGCGCTCCTCTCTCTCCCTGGAAACAGAAAGGCGAGGGTTAGCTTTCTGGACCATGTGGATGCCGCCATCACAGTCTCTATTAGATACCCACCAGCACCACCTCCATGACAAAACAACTAATATTTTCTACTGGAAACAAATGAAAGATGAAAGCAGGACTCATGGCACCACTTATTTCAACAGAACTGCTTGGGTCAAGTGTCTATCATTCTGATTTCCTGGGCCATATATTTTCGAACAAGATCTGACAAGAGGAATGCATGCATTTCCAGGCAACGTGTGGAATAACTTACAACCTTTCTAAAGTAAGTGACACTGACTTCTTTATGAGGCAAGTAGCAGGCAGCTCTCAGAGTGAAACTACCCATTTCCACCGAATGGAACTTCTCCTGTTCTTGACTTAAACATATCAAAGAAATGGAGACCAAAAAAGAAAAAAACAAAAACCGTACAAAAGAAAAAACCTTGGGTGGTGCAAACTGTTAACAGCTCAGCCGTTAACTGAAAACTGATTGGTTCAAGTCCACCCACAGTGCCTCGAAAGAAAGGCCTGGCAATATACTTCTGAAAAATCAGCCATTGAAAACTCTATGTACTACAGTTTCACTCTGACACACATGGGATCGCCATGAGTCATAACTGACTTGACAGCAACTGGTTTTTTAATGGTTTACTATTATAACACAGAGGCTTATTTAAAAAATATAAGCATAATTTTTACTAGAAATGGTTTTGGTTGTTGTTTTTGGGTGTTTATGGTTGGTTTCATATTTTAAGAAAATGCTTTTTAGATTTTCTTCCCAGCTTAAGTTTTGCCACATGCAAAATGGAGACAGTAAACACTGTTCAAGCTTTACTTGATGCCTGCACAGTACGCTGAAATGGAGAGACTGTAGGCTTGTAAAGAACACTCACAAGACTTACTTTGGAACCATGTCTTCCTGGTGCACCTGGTGGACCCTACAAGAGAAAGGGGTCTGGTTTAATAGAAGGAGAAAACATGGGATAAGAATACACTGTCAGCAATAGTAAGTGGATTTCCGATAAAATACTGACCACAGGGCCCCTCCGGCCTTGCTTAATGTGGGACAGATCAGGAGATGGTCCCATGGGTCCCATTGAGCCTCTTGGACCAGGCTGCCCAGGAGGGCCTGGCATTCCTGGAAAACCTGGGCTCCCCTTTGGTCCAGGTGAGCCTGTAATCAAAGAACACCTCATTAGTGACACAACCTGTGACAAGGACAACGAGCTCTGGCTGACACGAGAGTTCAGAAATCCTTATCAGCGACTTCTCCTTGCACTCTGCTCACTGCTTTCTGAGATCTCCACTGAGGTGTCACATAGACATTTAAACTCAATGTGATCAAAATTGGCTTCACCATATTCCCCTCTTTTCATGTACCACCAGTGACCCATCCACTCAAGCAGATGCTTAAGAGGCTTCTTAAATATTTCTCTATTTCCACAGCCTCCTTATCCAATCAGTGATAGGTTCCTACACATTTTACCTCTTTAACATCTCATAACTGTTTACTCCTCTTGATCCTCTCTATCAAAGAAGGGTAGTGGTTATCACAGCAGGGTGGTGGTTATAACAGCAAGGTAGTTGTTATCACAGCAGGGTATCAGTTAAGAATACAGGTGTTGGCATCAGAGACCTAGGTTTCAATCTTGCATAAATTGCTTGACCTCTCTGAACCACTTTAAACTTCAGTGTTAAAGATAACAACAACAAAACCCAAACTCACTAGATTGACTCAACCCTCCAGGGTAGTGTCTACTTACTGTTCCTCTACCAATGAGGTCTGGCATTCATCCAAAAAATTTGAGGCACACCAAAAAAGCAAAATGCAAAACACACACACACAAAAAAAAACCCACTTCATCAACAATGACAAAATCAAACAAACCCCATTTTTAAGAGATAAATCAATCAACAAAATCAGACTTAGAGATGACCCAGATGTTGGAATTATCAGAGATTTTAAAATAACAATGATTATTATTTTTAATAAGAATACAGTGGAAAAGATAGACAGCTTGTATGAACAGATGGGGGAATTTCTACAGAGAGATGGAAACTAGAGAGAAAAAAAGTCAAATGGAAATGCTAGAAATAAAAAAAAACCCATGATATCAGAGATGGGATTATCAAGAGACTGGCGAAAGTTGGGAAAGAACCAGTAAACTTAAAGGCAATAGACATTATCCAAAATGAAACACAAAAAGAAAAGAGGGAAATAAAAAATAAAACATTCAAGAGCTGTGGAACAATATCAAACAGTCTAACATATGTGTAACTGGAGTTCCAGAAGGAGAAGAAAACCCTACAGGGGCTCCCCTTTGTATATAGAATAAAGTCAAACTCCTCAGCACAGTATACAATGTCATCCATGACCAGGCCCTTGTTTTCCTCTGCAGGCATTTTTTTCACCATTGCCTCCTTTCCAATCACCTCTCAGCCCCATGCTCCCTAAATAAACCATGCTACTGTGCAGCCCCCAGCCTACTCTTCCCTCTTTTTCTCCTTTGCCTCCACTCCTATATGATCATCTCAGATCACATTTCTCCAAAACTATATTTCCTCACACCCCCTTTCCTGTAAGAGAATTAACTGCTCACTTCATTATGCACAATCCTAACCTATACATATACATCTATATACATATACCATTATCCTCTGAACATTCCTAACACTTAAAAATTGGGAGATTTCACATAAAAATCTGTATTTCTGGCTTCTTTTTGAAAACAGAAAGAACTAAAACCTGGACCACTATTCCCTCATGGGTACAACTTAATGGAGCTTTAGGTAGGGGCTGCCCCTTTAGATGGGGATATGTGCTCTCTGGTTTGTCCTCACTCTCTATTACTCACATCCTGTTCCCTTCACTCATTTATGCTACCTGCCTGGTTTCTGTAGACATCTGAGTTTCAACCTCTGTTTTAGACTGCTAGTTCCTTAAGTGCATGGCTGTGTCTTTTCATAAACATATTCCCACAGAGTCTCTGGCACTTAGTAGGCTGCTTAATAAATGTTTCTTTTCAAATGACTGCATTCAAGAGGCTAGGCTGATTGCTGTGCACCTGGTCCAATGATGTCTCTTTCAAAAGTGTACAGTAATCATTTTCTAGCCATACCTGACCCCTATATTGACACAGCACAGTGACAAGATGGAATAACTTTCAGGCTCCAGAAAACAAAACAAAACAATATAATTAAGAATAATTAAGCCAAAGATCAAGGCAGTCAATGTTTTACCCAAACAAGTCTCACACCACTGCTCTCAATGCTGCTTCCAGGTACATTCTGAAAGTGTTTATATCTGGGCAAAGGACCAGATCTCTCCTCTAACTAAATACTTCACATTCAATAGAACAAGGACAGGCCAGAGATAGTATCACACCTGCATTTACACAATCAGTGACTTCAGGGATCACTGTATGTCAAGTGCCTTTAACGAGTGGGACTTCGATGTGCAAATGGCAGGAGAAATGCCGTAAAGGCAAGAGAGCAGTGGCCACCCCCTTGCTCCTGAAGCCCAAGGGTTCCAACCTGGTGTTGTTTCCTGTATTGGTGCTCCAGTCTGCGATTCATCCCAGGCATTGGGACTGGACTTTCAGTGAAGGATGAGAGAAACCTTATTAGCTCTCTAGCTGCTCTAATACATCTTTGAGGGCAACACTAGACATAAGGAGTCAGAACAGGATTGGAGGAGAAAGCAAAGGCGATCCATTGCAAACAGCTCCTCCTCAATCACTCTCTGCAAGTTCACTAAAGGTAAAAACTAAACGGGCTCCATCAAGGACCCTGGACAGCTCAAACTATGTTAGAAACCAGAAGGCAGTATTGGAAAAGAAAGCCAGGGAATCATTCATTAAGAAGAACAACAGCAAATGGCTCCCAGTTCCTGCAGTCTGTCCTTGTCCTTGTGGTATGTAGACTGGCCTGGAGATTATCTTTCTCCAGGGAAGCAAAGCAAGAACATTCTCTTAGAGAAGGGTGGAGAACACTATGCTAGGAATCAGTTTGTAAGGAAAGACCCAGTCTGTTTAGGACAGCAAGAAGCTGCCTGTATGAGGCATCTGCCGGAGAAAACCCAACATGACCCAGGGAACCTCAAGCCGGGGGAATGAACAAGAGGATACACCAAAGTCCAGGATCAGTTCTTATTCTCTGTATGAGATCTAGGCCACCTATGTTTGAATGACACTAGGAGATTAAGACCTAAGTGAAGAAAAAACATAAATACTTCAGGGAAAAACTCTAAGCCTTTGTTCTTGCTCACCTTCCAACTATAAAAATTGCACATGACCCCTTGGACCAATCCTACCAGTCTTCCATGTCCAGCTCAAACCTAGAGTCCTCTGATCCCTGCAGGCTACTATGGTCTCTCCCTTCTTTAAGCTCCCATGGCAGGAAGCATCTGTGCACTTACTTGGGGACATCTGGATGCTGTTTTATTCTATTTGCGTTTGTTCTACGTGTCTTGTCTTCTCAATTAGACTGTCAAGAGGTCACTCATAACACCTAGCACACTGCTCAGCAATGATAATCAGGGATAAGATGCTCAACATTTTAGAATCATTTGCTCACATGAATGCCTCCATTTCCCTTTGTGGTGTGAAAAAAAGCTATTGCTTTATCCATCTATGGTGGGACTCATAATAAACTACAACACTCTGTAACTATTTTTTGAAGTTCTCATTGTATATTTCCTCATAAAATGATAGCACATTTGAGATTTTCTTCAAACTAATAAGGGTGAGTCTCAAAACCAGTATGCTGAATGCAAGAAGCCAGATAAAAAGTACATACTATAAAATTCCATTTATAGGAAATTCTAGAACAGGCAAGACTCTAGCAATAGAAAGCAGGTCAGCGGTTGCCCAGAGATAGAGACAAGAGGGTGGAGTGACTGCAAACGGGCACCAGGGAATTTTCCAAGGTGATGGAAATGTTTTCTATCTTGATTAGGGTGGTAATTTCACAGGTGTATACATTTGTCAAAACTCAGCAAACTGTAACTTAAATAGGTACATTTTATTTATGCAATTATATTTCAGTAAAGTTGAAATATACTTGCTATGGATTGAATTGTATACTCCCAAAATATGTGTTGTAAATCCTAACCCCTATACCTATGGAGGAGCCCTGGTGGCCTAGTGGTTAAGAGCTCAGCTGCTAACCAAAAGGACGGCAGTTCGAATCCACCAGGTGCTCCTTGGAAACCCTATGGGGCAGTTCTACTCTGTCCTATGGGATCGCTATGAGTCGGAATCAACTCGATGGCAATGGTAAATGGGTAATACCTGTGGATGTGATCCTATTTGGGAATAGGGTTTTCTGAGATATGTTAGCAAGGCCGTATCAGTGTAAAGTGTGTGTTAAGCCTCACTTTTGAGATATAAAAAGAGCAGATTAGGCACAGAAGTAAGAAAGCACACGTGGGGGAAGATATATGCCACACCACATGAAGATCGCCAAGTAACTGAGGAACAGAAGCTGAAAAGAGACAAGGACCTTCCCTTAGAGCTGGCAGAGAGACAAAGCCTTCCCCTAGAGCCTAAACTGTGAGAGAATAAATTTCTGTTTGTTAAAGCCACTCACTTGTGGTATTTCTGTTACCATGGCACTAAGAAACTAAGCCACTACTTAACAAATGCTTATAAAGAAGAAATACATAGATAGGCATAAAAATAAATACAGATGTAAATGTGTGTTAACAAATAATATGAGAAGGAGGAAATAATAGAGTAGGGAATAGTAGAAATGAGGCTAGCCAGGAGTTGTCAGAGCTGGGTGAAGGGCCCGTAAGGGTTCATTATACCATGCTCTGTTTTTGTACATGTTTAAATTTTTCCAGAATAAAGTTAAAAAATAGTTTTCATTTTGTTTCTTGATAACTTAAAGTTATCTTTGGGAATCTTATCCAATCCAGCACAATGGCCTTTTTCTATTGGTCACTACTGGTTATGAGTGTTTCACGGGCTCAAGGGCCTGATTCCCAAAGCCCTGGGTGCCACAGGGGTGCTGGGCCCTGGAGCTCCTGCTTCTGTTCTCAGTGATCGAAGCCACAGAACACAGTCCAGCCCCAATTAAGGTGAGCTCTCGGCAGGCCTCTGCTGGTGTCTCTGGCACCTTCCATGCCCTTCTCCACACTTACCGGGAGGGCCCTGGCCCCCAGGCAGACCAGGTGGTCCGGGAAGGTAGGCGTTTGAGGCCAGCACCTTGTCACCAGTGATGTACTTGCCCAGGTTGGCAGCATTGTTGGGGAGCAGGGCAATCTGTGAAGACAAAAGGACAGCCCCGTTAGGAGGGAATGGCTCCACTGTAAGGGAGATGTGCTGCTGTGTCTGCCTTGCAGAGGCAGCAAAACCTTTTCTTAATGATTCCCTGTTATCAGAGCCAGTTAGTGCTCAGGGGGACTGCAGGGATCCCCTTTCTAAACCTAGAGGCCTTCTAATGAATGTGACTTGCAGGAGATCACTCAGCTAGTTAGTGGGAGAGCCTGGACAAGGCTCTGGATTGCCTAGACATCGCAATTAGACTCATTACTACCATAAAATAATAAAATCTACCTGTTTTCATGTGACGGTATCGGTGGTTCAGTGGTAGAATTCTCACTTTCCATGTGGGAGACACAGGTTTGACTCCTGGCCAATGCATCTCCTGTGAAGCCACCACCCATCTGTCAGAGGAGGCTTGCATGTTGCTATGATGCTGAAAAAGTTTCAGTGGCGCTTCCAGACTAGGAAGAAAATCTGGCGATCTACTTCCGAAAATCAGCCAATGAAAAACTCTATGGATCACGACGGTCCAATCCACAGTCGATCATGGGGATGGTACATGACTGGGCAGTGTTTCATTCTGTTTTGCATGGGGTCACCATGAGTTGGGAGCTGATCCAATGGCAGCCAACCACAACAACTACAACCACCTGTTTCATAATCTCGATTTGTTAAAAAATTACTTTAAGGCTCAAACATGTATTGAGTACCTATTACGTGCCAGGCCCTGGGCTTGGTTTGAAGGCTACCATGGTGACCAAGACCTGGTCTCTGCCCTTAATGCACTCTCAGCCTTGGGAGCCAGAACCAAGAAAGTGGCTTATAGTTTACATGCACACTCTTGGCTGACCTTTGGTACAACTGGGAAACAGTGACTGTGGTGGTTTTAAAATATGCCTGCAAATTCTTTAACACTCCCCCCTTCAAAAAGGTGGAGGATAACTTCCCACCCATTGAGTGTGGACTGTATTTAGTGAGTTGCTTCTAGAATTTGACAGCAGTGACAGCATGTATCTTCTGAGACAAGGTCACGAAAGGCATTGTGGCTTCCCCCTTGCTCTCTTGGATCATTCATGCTAGGGGAAGCCAATGGGATTGCACAAATGAATGAAAGACCTTTACATTCCTTGGAGCCTCAGCTCAGGGAAACTGAGCGAATCTGTAAGTGAATCAGTAAGAACTGAATGCCACGAACTTCCATCTACTAACTGATAAAGGGAATAATGAAAAAAAACCCAAACCAAACCTGTTGCCATCCAGTCAATTCCCATAGTGACCCTAAAGGACACAGAGTAGAAATGTCCCGTAGGGCTTCCAAGGAGCAGCTGGTGGATTCGAACTGCTGACCTTTTGGTTAGCAGCCAAACACTTACCACTGTGCCACAATATCCCCTTTTATGGCTGGTATGAGGGCTTGGTGGTTCAGTGGTAGAGTTCTCACCCTTCATGGGGAAGGCCCAGTTCAACTCCCAGCCAATGCACCTCATGCACAGCCACCTGTCTGTCAGTGGAGGCTTGCTTGTTACTATGAACTGGTTTCAGCAGAGCTCCCAGACTAAGATGGACTAGGAAGAAAGGCCTGGCGATCTACTTCCAAAAACTAGCCAATGGAAACTCTACGGATCACAACAGTTCAATCTGCAACCCATCATGGGGTTGGGGCAGGACTGGGCAGCATTTTGTTCCCTTGTGCATGGGGTTACTATGAGTCAGGGGCTGACACAATGGCAGTTAACAACAGCGACAACATGGCTGAGAGAATTAATGAGGTAATTATGTTGGGTACCCAGCATAGGACCTGGAACATACTAAGTGCTTGATAAATGATAGTTCTAGTCTCTTCCCTCCAAGAAGCTAATTCAGGGGTACAAATTCAACTGAGATAGGGCATGTTTCTGAGGATCACAGAGGACTTGCTCTGGATCCTGGAGTCCTGAAAAACCAAGTATCTCTGTGATTTCTGAAACAAGCTGCAATTGTCTCCCCATCCTCCTGCATGCAGCCTGGCTTGGGGGTCCTCTGGACAGAGGGCAGCGCAGGCTAGGAGAGGTGCATGGAAGGTCACACCTTAACCCCTGGAGTTCTCGGAGGCTCCAAGCCCGTGTCTGGATCTGAGTTTTAGAAAAAGGTACCTATTACCTGTGCGTGATCAGAGGTGGCTGATGGCCACCGTAAAAAAGGGGTACCCTTTGGGGTTTAACGTCAGCACAGAGCACTAAATTAAAAATCATGCAAGGTTCTTCCTGGGGTTTACATCCACTCAGACTCACAACTTTAGGGAGGAAGAAGCAAACAGTTGAATGCTGATGTGAACAACTATGGCGTTTTCTTCACCTTCCCCCTTCACGTGAAGTCTGCATTTATCACCTCTCATTTGCTTCCTCAGGGATTTGCTTATTTTCCCAAGGACTCCAGACTCCCAGGAAGTTCTGATGCAGCTGTGAGGCACACTCTGTTAAAGATGGTATACAAAATTGCCCCAGAGATTTCAGGGCCTGCATGCGTTTTAAATATGGAAGGAATTCCGTATTAGGGATTAGGGCAAATTGACTTGATAGTAACATAGCAGGGGAATGTAGCAAAAGATAAGGAGATCTCGATTCTCCCAAGCACAGGCTGGAGGGGAGTGCGTGGGGGACTACAAATCCATCTCCTGAACTACAGCCAAGATTCCGCGCTGTGAATGCCTGCAGGTAGGCCTGGGAAAGTGTTGTTGCCCAAGATGATGTTCTCTGACGTCAGGTCTTGGATCTCCTGGAATCGTGTCTATTTCTGAGCACGCAGACTTGGCAATGACTGCATTCAGCACTCCCATTATGAAACATGATTCTGATGGATTACCCTGGCAGCGATCCTATTCTGCTGGGTGGTTGCTGGATTTGGGGCTCTCTCGATCCAGTTTTATAAGCTGATGGTTTGTTTTAGTCACAGAGACAGATATTCTTGCCAGTGGAAGAAACCCAATGTTAATGAAAAGTGACTATCATGATCATATGTTGCTTGCATTTTGGCAAACGACTTTTACCTGATATATCTTATGGGAACAAATTATTTCACAAGGTGCCTGACCCAGTCCTGTACCTCATTTTAATGGAGCACTTTTAACTTTTCTATAAGGTAAAATCTTAGAAACCACAAGAGGGTCTCAGGGTGTGCCTGTAGCCTGGCATGCAGAGCACAGTGAGCCGTGAGGGCGCTGGTCTCCCTCTCATGCTTGGGGAGGATGTCCAAGGCTCCTAGGTTAAGAGATCCTACTCCCACTTCAGCTTCCCTAGGTGTCTTGTTTGAGCTTGGAATGGTCCCTGCTCTGGAACTCTCTCAAGTGATTTTTTTCCCTTCTTAGAATTCCAAGTCGATTGAAACCCACCTAGCTTGGGCAGCAAGGGACGCTCAGAGAGCTAGGAAACTCAAAGACGCTTCAACACTGTCCTCTGACGGGTCCCTTAGCATCCTCAGCACTTCTGAGGATGTGTCCTAGAAAGCTCAGGAGCTTGGTAGCCATCACTAAAACCCTTGTGTAAGGACAGCCTAGCAGGGGCCTGTGAGCTAAGATTCCTGCTCACCCACTGCCTTCCAGATACACATCTTCCTCTATACCTTGAGAAGACTTGGTGTTCCCTGAAAGATGCAAGGAACAATGGCACTGTATCAGCAATGTCATGGGTTCAATTCCCCTGTGACCACCAGTCAGGATCCAGTAGGGGTGACCAGAAGAATTAAAATCTTGTGCAACTTAAAAGTCAGCTTTGTACTATTTCAGGTCAGGGTTCACAGTTCAGAGTCAAAACCAGGACCCCGCTGTGCTTCTATTCATTTAAAATGGTGCTGGTGTCACTTTGTCACAGCAATAGACCACTCTACCCTGCAAATATGTGCTTGTGGCCCTGGGGGGAAGGAAGACGAGCTAATGAATGAGGGAACCAGATTAGCAAATCTACCCCAACGATTGGGCAGTGGGAAACACCGGCAGCTGAAGGGTGGTCCAACCCTATTATCTGATTCCAATGAAATGTGGACTCATTGTCCAGCAACATATAAGGAAGACTGAAGAATTAACGCATTTGAATTATGGTGTTGGCAAAGAATATTGACTATACCATGGACTGCCAGAAGAACGAACAAATCTGTCTTGGAAGAAGAACAGCCAGAATGTTCATTAGAAGCGAGGATTGGGAAGACCTCATCTCACGTACTTTGGACATGTTATCAGGAGGGACTAGTCCCTGGAGAAGGACATCAGACATCGTGTTTGGTAAAGTAGAGGGTCAGCGAAAAAGAGGAAGACCTTCAACGAGACAGATTAACCCAATGGCTGCAATGATGGCTTGAAGGGCAGCAACGATGGTGAGGATGGTGCAGGACATATGGTTGCTATGAGTTGGAACTGACCCGATGGCACCTAACAACAACAGGCTTATGTTTAAGTCAGCCCTGCCACTTTCTGCCTGTGGGATCTTGGTAAGCTACACAATCTGGATTTCCTCGTCTATAAAATGGAGATGGTAACAGCCACCTAAAAGGGTAGCTGGAAGGGTTAACTTGATGAAACTTTTAGGTGCCTGGCTAGTAGTGCCCGGCCTAGTAACTGTTCGCAGCTATTAACCATGGATACAGGGAACGTTCTGGTTGGGGGTTGCTCCTGGCTCTGTTTCCAAGTTGCTATGTGACTTTGGGCAAGTCTCTTCACCGTTCCAGATTTTCATCTTCACATCTACAAAACGAGGGGTTTGGACCAGATGATCACATCTTTGGATTGCAGATATTCTAAGCAACCAGAGGGAGAGGCCTGCGTGAGGACGGACTCTAGAAATACTCTCCCGCTCCTGCACAGCGCCTGCCGCTCTGGCCGCTCCCTTGTAAAAGTCATCAGGTGACTCCTTCAACAGCCCCCTTGGTTTCCTGGCTGACCTCCTGGTAGGTCATCTTGCTCCCTTCATCTCCTCTGGGTCAGCAGGATGAGAGAAAAGTTAAGGGGCTAGGGTTTGAGAGGTGGCCAT